CAACAACAACAACAACAACAACAACAACAACAACAACAACAACAACAACAACAACAACAACAACAACAACAACAACAACAACAACAACAACAACACGGCAGTCGGCAGACTTCACCGAGGGCCGCTAACTTCACCCGTCCTCCCCACTGCCACTACTCTAACGCCTTTTGTTCGGCGACGGCGGGAGTTTCTGTTTCTTGTGGCCACAGGCCTGGCTGCGGCCGGTGATTTTAAGTATGTTTTCGTCACGTGATTTCTAGAGTTATGAGGATCTCGCGATGATGTCAACATCAGCCTGTATTTTTATCGTCGTATTATTTTTATCTATGTCATTGTTTATTTCCTTGTAGTCTGCTTTGTATGCATTGCGCGCATAACCTAGTTTATGTCATGCCTGTCGATGGATCAGTCAACAGAAAATTGATACCATACATAATACTCACTTTTGTTTTGTGTGCTTTTTAAATAACGAAATTTAAAAAGACAAGTATATTTAATTCTTATAGTTGTTGACAGCAGTCAGGATGGACTTGGCCGAGGCTTGGACATCCCTGAAGGCAGCAGTAGTACAATTCTACCAAGATGGGATGCAAAAAGACAATGTTCAAGAAATAATCTCCATAATCAGTAACAGTATTCAGTTCAAAAAGAGCTGGTATGTCCCTCCTCCAGGATCCTCCCAAGAGCAAGTGCAGCATCATACAGGTTTGCATTATTAAGGACTTCCATTGTATTATATCACTATGTCCCCCTGACAAGAACTTTCTTTTCTGCATTGCAGCGTTTTGCACTTGGATGCTGGGCAGGCTCTTTTGTGTTCTTGGTAGGGACTCTCTCTCTGATTCTCATGCATCATATGTTCAGACTCAAATAGAAATATTAAATGCTTGTGCTGAAAATCAGTTTATGATCAGGACTTTCTTTTTGGAATACATGTCATGCTTGACTGGTAAGATTGTTACTAATCTTTCGCATTTATTACTTTAGTGACTGATTTTTAAGCTGACTCTTTTTTTTTTCAGACTTGTTAGCCATTCAAACCTCCGAGACATTCAGTAAGACCATGAGTGGACCACAATTGCTAAAAAGATTTACTCCACAGACCTTAGAATCTCTAGAGAAATTAAATTTAACACCCAAGTACATTCTTGTTCAATCTGAGGCTCATTTGAGCTCTTTACAAAAGTATTTAGTTCAGGTAACAGAAATAGCCCTCTTTTTCTGTAACATGTATGAAATATGTGTTTCATTGGTGTTTTTTTTTGTTTTGTTTTTCCACAGATAATTGAAGCAATGATCCCAAACATTGCACTGAAATATAACCACCTTCTGGAAAAGTGTTGGTTGATCTTATGTGAGTTGACCCAAGTGGCTACCCCTCATCTAAAAATGATCGTCCTCAATACTTTTTCAAATATAATATCTTACTCTGGTTATCACTCAAGAGTTGTAAGTGTCTGTTATTGTCTATTATTTTTCATCTTTTTTTCAAAATGAAGCTTGTTATTTTTGTTGTTTTTTCTTTGCCTTTTTTAAACAGGCTTTATTAGAATTATGTCATACTCTTCAAACAGTGACTCAGTTTATCTCAGTTAATTTACTTGACAAAGCTGAGTCAGAAGTTGTTCAGCTCCTTGTTAAGAGTGTAGGAAATCTAGTTGATGTGATGATATCAACAGGTTCTTGTGATAATGATTTGCCGAGAATCAATGATCTGTTAACTATTTTACATTCTGTGATAAATTTTTGGGATGTTGAGGGTAAAGAAAGTGAGTTCCTGTATCTGATACCTGCTAATAAGATATTTTTTACCGTCTTGTCATTCTTGTATATTTTGTTTTTAGAGGCAGGATTCTACAATGCATGCAAAAACGTTTCATACCTAATAGATGCATTTCCTCTCTTATCCATCAAATCAGAACAGTTCTGCTTTTTATTAAGAAGATATGAAACTCAGTCAGTAAGTTCATTATAATTTAAGTGGAGAAGGTGTTCATAAAAAGCTACACGAAGTATATTGTAATCCATATTACATGTTTTTCAATAATGACTTTGGAAAATTTTCTTTTTTGCCAGTGTTCTGTGAATATTTTAGTAAAATGTGTGTACTTGAAAGTTGTTAATCACATTAAATCAACTCGTCAATTCCTAGCAATATACAAATCCGAAAATAATGTCCTTGGGGATAATATCAAGTGAGTATGTTTATCAAGAAGTTGGTATCATTTTATGTTTGTATGTGACAGCAATTTTTACCATTGAATTTTTACAGTGAACCTCTTCTAATAAATGCTGTCTCATCCATATCATTCTGGTCATATCTTCACAACCAGTTGTGTGATGAAATGGCTGCACTGCTGCCCAATTTTCCCTCACAACCTTCAAAACAAGTATTCAAAGAAATTTGTGATGTAATAGGAAGAGTAAAGGTATGAGATCCACATCTTCTCTTAAGGAGTCTACTGTTTATAATTGCAATCATTATAATCTCTAATCTAAAAAACGTCTGAAACAATTTATCTTTAGACAATGGTTCAGTGTGCCGTAGAAGTTGAAATGCTGTGTACAACAGATACAGAAATTGGGAAACTGAAACCTTCCCTTTTGTTCTTTCCGGATACTGTAACTATTTAACTCATTTTCTCGCTAATTTACTAATTTTTAACTTCTTTATCTACTAATGCCTTGTTTATTTTGTATCTTCTTTTACATAGGTTGGAGACATTATTTCATTATTTTGCTCGGTCATTTGGAAGCTTGTTCACCTTAAAAAAGAAGATACCATGGTGTGGTATTTTGAGGATATTATCAGATCTATTATTCTCTCTCTTAGATATATGTTCCTGTTGCCTGAAGTAGTATCTTCTCAAGTGGAGAGTGCTAAAGTTGCTACATCAATATCAGCTATACCATGGGCTGACTGCAAATGTAAAGCAGATTTTCAGTCAGAATTTAGTGAAGTTTCTAAATTATTTCCTGAAGTCAATTGTATGTAAATATGTCTCATATTTGCTGTAGTACATATTTTATATGTTGCTTTTTTGTGTTTTCATAACAATCTTGATGTTTTCAGCCGAAGACATGAAAATTCTAAGTTTACACACACTAGCTTGTATACCTTGCTCAGAGGCCTACATTTGGAAAGCCTCAATGTTTTCAGAGATAGTTACTGCTTCACATGAGAAAAACAATGTGAGGATTGCAGTAGAAGCGGTTCGAGCCCTCCCTGTCCTTCTCTTAGATCAAAGCCAGCAGCAATATGAATACTTGCATAATGTGCTGCTTCCCGCTTTAGAATCAACCAATGAAACCATTTTGACCGCAGTATCAAGTATATTTCCGTCAATTGTATGTGTGTTATCAGGAGATATTGCACCTGTGAGGTATGTATTGAATACAACATGAGAAGCTTTCTATCATGTTTTGGCTTTTGTGATATCAATTTTTTTGCAGCTTTTCTGGGAATGGAAACAATCTGGAAAGAGGTTTTGCTTGCCTTTCATGTGAAAAAGATTTTGTAGGCCCTGCTTTAGAAGCCAGTAATGTTCTTCCAAAATTCAAAGAAATTCTCAACAAATTCATCACTTTGCTGACTTGTCAGTTTGTGACTGTTAGAAGAAATTTGGCTGCTTCTCTTTGTTCTTTAGTTTTACATCTTCCCGCCTTGTATCAACCTGAAACTGTTTTAATTTTGATGAAGTATGCTGAGTAAGTTTTAAAAGATTAGTGCAGCATATTATGCCCTTAAAATAAACAAAATAGGTATTCTGATTGAAAATACCTGTGTATTTGTGAACTAATTACAGGGATGACGACTGTCAAGTTAGATTAGCATTTTCTAAAATGGTGAAGTTTCTCATATTTTCACGTGACTGGATGGAAGGGAAAGGAGTTGAGTCAGAACATCTGCGTGAGGAGCACATACCACTTACTCAGGCAGACCGGGTTGAATTAACCCAATCTCGCCCTAGGCTCAATCGTGTGCTTCAACTGCTATACAATTCGTTAATAACTAGTCTTAATGAAAAGGGCAGTGCTGACTATGATGTGCAGGGTACTATTCTGGCAACAATAGTTGATATTGGATGGTAGGTGTACAGTTTTAAATTATCTATCGAAACAAATATCCTCCCTACTTGTCAACTTGTTATTTGTTATAATTTTTATTTTGTTCAGTGTGCCTTTGGATTGTGTGCTGCTTCCTGTGCTGAAAATGGTTGTGATAGGTGTTTCTCATCCTGCATTTACACAGCCCTCAATTGGTCTGGTATACTTAAAGCAAATTGCTGTTGCTCACAATACTACTGTTGGAAATCTCTATCGTCGCTTTCAATCTGATTTATGTGAAGTAAATGCCCTCATATCAATTACTTCTTTAGATGTGTACCGTATCGTTTAGCAGGATTAGAATTATGTCTTGCCATTTTCAATCTCCATACCAACAAATTCTTAACTTGATTCTGCAGGTAATGATAGCATCAGTGGGAATGAATTATCATTCTGGACAGTTATCTAAAGTTGGAAACAAAGTTGTCTATAGCTTTGGATTTGAATCCATTGGATCATGGCTGAGAATGTCTGTGAAATATGTTTTACCCACCCTTATGGTGTTGGTTGTAAAGTTTGACGATCAAAAGCTTCTGAAAGAAATGCTTGATTTCTTTCCTTGTTCAAAAGCTGATCTGATAAAAGAAAATTTTCAGGTAAACATTTCCCAGGTAACCTACCCTATTTACTTAGATTTAGAAAAGGTATGGTAATTGTAAATTTCTGTTTTCAGTTCATATACTCTTATGTATTTTTAAATGAGACTGATGAAGTTGTTGAGAGTTGTGTTAAACTGATGGAAGAAATGGCAGGAATAAGTGGTCAACAGCTCATCATATCATCTTTCCGTGTAAATTTTATATGCCCTAAGTTTGCACCTTAAATGCTGAAATTACTAGTATTAAAATAGAGTTATCTTTCCTACTTGTAGACTGCACATGCTGAATTTCTCCTTCACTACCATTGCAAAAAAGAGCGAGTTGAGGAAGGCATCTGCAAACTGATTTACTTATTGGACAATCAATCTAATAATTCTATTAAAAAGAACACACTCAAAAAATCCGACATTGTAAGAACTTGTTCATTAAAACTGTTATGATTCAGACATTTAATCCTTCAAAATCTATTATTTATTATTAATTTCAGTCAAAGCACCTTGAACCACGATTTTTAGGTGTTCTTGTTCACTTTGATTCATTACTTGAATCCTCCAGCTCTGAAGAAAGTGACAAAATCAAAGCCCTTCAGTCTCTTCCACAAATAATACGTCTTATGGGACCTAAATACATTACTCCTGTCCGTTTTAAGGTATGTCATAAGTACTTTATGTGAAATAACACTGAAAGTGATTAGTTCATTCTCTCATATTGTAATTTGCAGGTCTTATCAACATTAAGAACTGCACTTCGTCTCACACATTGTGACTTTCCCCATTACAGCTGTGGAGCCTGGGAAGCCTTCATACAGAGGTTATTGACATCATCCAATTATATTCTTTAACTTATTTAATCTTTTCTAATCCTATACAATGTATTCCATTGATTGTACTCTTGATCCCAGTGGAGCGTAATTCTAATAGAAGAATTCTGAAATTTTCAGTGTGGATATTTACGAACTTGGTCCTCTGCTTGGTACTGTGGCTGCTTCACTTTTACCTCTCCTCGAACAATTTCCAGATGAAATTTCCACAATGCTTGAGTGGTTAGTTGTGGAGCATGAGCATGAGCTCTCCAATCATATTGCTGATTTGTTTTTCCTACCAAACACTCCAAAACTTCATAATGTGTACCGAATTGTTAACCATCATGTACTGAAAATGAGACGTGGCTTAAATGACAGTGAAAAGTAAGATTGTGTTTGTTTTCCTATCAGATAATTGGGAAGCTGATTTGATAATTATCTCTATTTAGTCTAGATCAATTGCCCACCTATACTTTCTTTCTGTAGTCTTGCAGATTACCTTCAACAACCTCTGCGCTTTATTACTCATGATAATGTTGACATGCGAAGACATGGCTTAGAATATCTGCTGTCGCTTCTTAAAGAAAAACAAGTGCAGTTTACTAAATCACTGCTCCAGGAAGAGGTGGTCCATGAAAGTGTATCAAAGGTATGTGTCATTCTGTATTGTATCTGTTGTGCAAAACTAATGAAATGGTCGGTAGACTGTAGATTCTCACTCTCAATTGTTTCTTAACATAGTTATTGACCCTTTTGATTGAGGGTTGTCGAGATACTGATCAGAACATTCAACTCTTGTGTGTTCAAAATTTGGGAATGCTAGGAGCTCTGGACCCTGGTCACCTTCCTCACAAAAAGCCTGAGAGAGGTAAGGAGATTAGATGTGCAGTAACATTTTTGCCCTTGTCCCCTATTTTAGCTTGTTTCACTTTAAACTCCAAAGAGTTCCTTTACTTCCTATATTGTCTCTTTATACCACAGGAATGCCGCAAATTTCCTCTGTAGATGAAGATTCATTCGCAGTTCAAGCTTTGACAACATTATCAAAAGCTTATCAGGCAGCCAGAAACACCAGGAATCTTGATTCATTTGCTGTTGCGATACAGGTTTTTATCTATATCGAAGTAATTACCTAGTAGATTAGGGCCTTACAATCCTAAAGGGCCTAACAGGCTGTATTCTTTATTTAAATTTGACAGGAACTTCTCAGGACTTATAATATTTCCTCTCAAACATCTCAAGGCAAAAAAACTTTATGGGATTCCTTTCCTGTAAATATACAACAAGTAATGGCACCTTTAGAAAACTCTTCCTACTACATGACAACCTTAGACTCTGATTTTGTATGGCCTCATCCGTTGTTTGGGTTTGTGACAACTAGAAAATTTATAGTCTTGTATTTAAATAGTTGTAAGAATGAATCGCAACTGAAATGTTTTTTTCTCCCCAGAACACGATATGCTTCATCATTGACTTATTGGGCTCATACTTGGGCATGTCGAATTGTAAAATTTATTGATAATGCCAAAGCTAAAGAAGTGTTTACAGTCTGCATACCAAGCCTGAAAACAGACATAAACTGTGTTCTATTTTTCTTGCCATTTATTTTGAGTTAGTACATAAATAATGTCAGTCATTTTTATGTCTTTTTATACATTTTTTAATCACTATTACTATTATCACTTTTTTATGTCAGTGTATGCTGTAATTTCGGGACATGAAGAACAACACAAAATGATGGTGGAAGAAATGAATTTTGTTATACAGCAACGGAGAATCATCGAAGAAGAGAAAAAAGAACTGCAAAATGGAAGTGAGAAATTTCAGCTTAGGATGGATGCTTCTATTGTCCTTCCTCAAACAGTGGATTCGGACAGTGCCACCCATGCTTTGTGTGCCAAAACAGTTTTTAGTTTGCTGAATTTTTGTGAGAAATGGGTAGGGTTCTCAAAGCAAAAAAAGGACAAAAGCAAAAAGAGCACAACCATAAAAGTAGGAAATGCTGAAAGTAAGTGACATAAATTTATAGAATACCGGTACTGAATTGAATACTTCAAAAACAGTGTTTATATCTATTTTTGTTTATTATATCATTATTTTTGCAAGGCTTTTTGGCTCAATTTTCTAAGTTGGATTTGGCCTATGGCAATTATGGTGTTAAAGAATATGCGAGAGCTCTAATGTACTTGGAGGACTATTTGATGGAGAATAAGAACCTGATAAATAATGAAGAGCACTTAATTTTTTTGCAGGTGAATTCTAATAGGTTTTTCTTTTTTAATCATCTTTGAATAGGTCTCAGACATTATCTTCCATTTATTTTATTTTTTAGCGAATCTATGCTCAACTTAATGAACCAGATGGAATGAAAGGTGTAATTGCCATTCAATGTAGCCAACCAAAGTTGTTGGAAGGTGTTGTTTATCAAGAGGTTACAGGACAGTATCAGGTGTGCTTCTGCGTTCTTTATTTGTGACCTCTTTATTCTGTTGTGTGTGATACCATGTCATAAGTAATCTATTATTAAAAAACTTTTATTTTCCTTTTCAAGGAAGCCCTTGCTTGCTATGAATTACTTGCAGAGCAACATACTGTTGATGCTCAAATAGGTAT